GTACAATGTGTGTAGTTTTAAATTTAAATAGCACACATCTTTTGCTCGATTGTAATATTTTCCGCAGATACGTAGAGATCGACGCTATTTGGATATATATAAAGCAAGGAACTAAAGAATTCTGACCTTCGAATTTCGTTTGTGGCAAAAATATAATTACCGTTCTCCGTCAAAATTCACGTTGTATTTAGTGTTGCGTGGTTAGTTTGATATTTAGGCAGGATCGTCTAATTTATAAAATGATTGGAGTCAATATTTCTCCGTAGGAAATTCAAGTTTAAAATAGAATTGGAGGAACTCAAACAAATATGAGTGTGATTTGTTGGAGTTCGGATGCTAACATAAAAAATTAATGTGAACAAACACAGATTTGAAGTGGTTGAGGGCCTTCATCTGTATTAGCAAATGTTTTGAAATTGCAGAATATAAATTATGAGACCATAATTGGCAGGTGTATTTCTCTGCTCTGATTGTAAAGACAGCAGTTGATTCTCCTTTTCTTCCATAAATAATTTCTAGAGGATAAGCTTAATAGTTAACGTTATGGATTTTTGCATGCATACCTATATCATTTTCCTTCACAATGGAGCTGTTACATCAGACTCAATGATTTCTTAAAGCAGTTGAAAATATAACATCACTAAGCTGCCATTCTGACTTCGTTGATCTTTTCATCCACGAGTATGATAGCCTCTGGAGGAGGACATTGAATGCTTTGTCATAGTAGTGTTTTATTTACTATTTTTAGGCTTCAAAACCCAGATGTAGGTCAAGTTGACTGCTTAAGCCACTGGTTAATCTTTTAGAATCATTCTATAAACAAGCAAAAATTTAATCGGATGAGCTACCATGAACGAGGTTACATGTTTCAGATAAATTCTGTGAAAAAAAAATATATATATATAATTTAGACGAGATAATCACTGCACAATAATACACTTCTTAGCATTATATTCTGGTGGTGTTATAGATGTCACTGACTTTCTAATGCTGAAAGAAAGAAATCTCAGTCTGTTTCTGGATATCCTAATTATGTAGCTTCTTAAGGCCGTTGATGAAATGTACTTAGTAATTAGATCGACATTTGATTTTAATTGCTCACAGTTTCTTCTTCGTTATATTCTCTATGTATCTACTGAGAAGAATTGTTGGTCATATGATGAACACAGATCTCTCCCAGCAGGTGCAAGTTGCAATGGAGAACATGCTTAAAATGACAAAGTGAGTCAAACAAGCAGTTTTAACCAAAATTATATATGTTCGCTTTCATCTGTTGAACAATCTTAACTAAAAAACGTCAGATTAGCAAGTTTTAAACAAATTTATATATGTTCATTCTCATCTGTTGAACAATTTTAACTAATAAATGTCAGATTCACAAAATTTAGTGCCTCTTCTCAAATGAAAGCATAGAAATTGGTTTTTTCACTACCTCTACTTCAATCCTCTTGATGCTCTCACTCTTCAGAATATTTCTAGTTTTCATAGACTAAAAATGTCCTATCATATAAGTTTTAGCCCACATTTCACCTATTGTTGTCATTTCCAAGCTGCTGGTTTTCAACTTTTAGCCCTTGAATTTTTGCCCTCTTTTTTCATCACATTGCATGGCTGTCAGTAAAATTCTAAATTCTCTTCTATTGTTGTCTTCTTTGGTATTGGTAAAATTATTGGGAGAGTTGTCGAATATTTCGTATAGAACAACAAAAAATTTACAATTGTCACTTCAGAATTTATCTCAACTTATACAAACTTTACAGGGAAATCGATCAGAACTCTGCTGAAATACTAGAAGATATAGAAAAGTCCAAAGACTCTGCTCTCCAGAGAAAGAAAAACTTAGAAGAAGAGAAGGAGCATTTTCAGAAAGCTGCTTTTGCTGTTCTAAACATGCTTAACAGAGATCTCAACTGAAGCTCTAATGTTGGCCATTTGTCTTCAATCTTGACTTGTAAATTTCAAGCTTGTGTATTTTGTTTATGTGTACAAGTATCTGGTTCATCATCCTGTTCTTTTCTTGCTCTATACTCATTGAAAAATATTAATTTCATGTAGTAGCATATTCTCAAGGTGGCTGTTCTCAAAATATGTATAAGTGATCGTTATCTCTTAAAACACTTAAATCTTCCACTAGGGAGCCATCGGCAATAAGAACTGTGGTTCCTCTTTTCCCCAACTTCCTTTCTGCATTCACCAAAAATATCTTAGCCGAAGGTAAAAATCATTGAGGTCTTCTTTTCTCCTACCTTTCTACTCGTTCAGTATCAGGTTAAAAATGTCTCTTTGTGTGTGTGAGTGAGAGAGAGAGAGAGATTTGGATTAGAAAGGAACAATGCAACTACGATGATTTCTAGATTTTCGTGGACAGTGTCGCTACAAAAGTTTAAGTTTATTTCCAGGTCCCTTTGCCCATGAGTAGTCTATTTTCTTAGAATACTATGTTACGATGGTGCTCACCTGCTAATGTCAGAAGATCTTCCATTGAATCAGGCAGATGTGCTAGTTTTCCCCCATTTTCTTCTTCTTCTTGTTTGTCGTCTGGATGATGCCCGTGGAGTACGACCCTTGCAGGAATTGTACTTGATGATGCATAAAATGTAGGGATGCCTGCAAAATAGATTGAAGAAGAATTTATGTTGTAGTTGGGTGATGTATCACGACAGATCACTTCTGCAAATTATCTCATAATTGACATGATTCTGTATTATTCACTTTTGTTTTTCCCTTGCCCTAAATTGCATGCTTATGAAATTACAGATTCAGACATAGAGTGCGATTCACTTATTTGTCAATTAAAACATTTGGTTTGGCATTTGATTGAACTAGCCGAGGAAGAGTAGTAGTCAACTGGAAGTATCTAGGTTGGCATTCCTCATACACCCCATTTAAGGTAGTTAAGGGAGTAGAAGGTAGATGGAAAATACAATTCTCCCTTCATTAAAAAGTTGCAGGCAGTCCTATTAAACTCTTTTTATCTATTTAATGATGAACCAGTCACTTGACCAGTGATTTAGCTTCTTTAGGTCATTTGCAGGACAACTGAAAGTTCCCATTTTCTACAGAATATAGTAACACTACATTTTTATTACATCTTCCAAGTAATTTGTATACTTCATTAGCTGCACACTTTTCAAAATGCACTCCGTACTTTATGCACACAAATAAAGCAACTGTTTCAAATGAATTGAGAGCTTACTGTTTGATTCTTGGTTCAGTCCCCCATAATTTTGTGGTTCATGTATTGTTTGTATGGCCTGAAATGAACAAATGGTTCATTTGTATCATTAGAAAAGTATTTCATTGCATTTAGCATCAAGCATTAATAACTACTTTAATGGAAAGTCAGTTGTTTGGACTTCTCATTAGATTGTGCAAAACAAAAAAGAAAAGAAAGATAAAAACCTCAAAGTTTGAGTCAGCCAGATATTCTTCTACAAATGGTATCTCCTCTAGCTCCTCCTTCTTTAGGCCTCTCAAATGCTGAGAATTGGAAATGTTAGTAGGTTTATACTTCTGTTCAATGCTTGGTAATTTGAGGATGCTGTTCTAGAAGAGAGAAGATGATTCCAAGAAATGACCAACAATGCCATGACAGTATTATTCACTAGAGTGTAAGATGCATAATTCTTACTAATAGGGAAAATAATGATCTTTAATGCATTAATGAATTCCTAAGTTTTAGAATTCTAACCTGAAGAAAATTAGAGATAAAAATCTTCCCATCTTCACTAAGCGGCTGCACCAGTTGCTTGAAATGATTATGACTAATCCGAATGACCTGAGAAAGCCTCTTTGTTCTAACTGTGAAAGGTTGAGGAATATTGAAGATCACCCCAATTTCTCCAAGCATACTTGGGGACATTAATTTTGAGAGGAACTGCAAAAGATCCAAGTTAACTTTGTCTATCAGGAAAGAAGTTACTTTTAGATTTAGCATTTACGGATGATAGATTTTTAACTTAGTTCTGCTAAGTTAACTTTATCATAGTTTTGATTAACCAAAAGCCGAGAAAAATATTGCTGTACAACCTGGTGAAATGATTTTTTTGTTTAAATACTCTTAAAAACTCTTCTATTTCAAAGGTCAAAACGAATTCTGTTCCCTTTTTACTAGCTACAATCTTCGACATGTTTCTTTCTTATACATTATCACAAGATGGAAACATATATGTGGTATTCTACATTGTTGACTTTTTTATCTCTCTTTATTTTCTCAACAGATTTTGGACATCTTGATTAATACCGGACAAGGCATGGTTTTCATGAAGAAATTTCATCAATTGTCGCATGCTATCCCAGTAAGATGATCAGGCCCAATTTATACACTTGCTTTATTCATTCTGTTGTCTTTTAAATGAGTTTGATCTTACATGGTCTTGAATTCTAATTGCTACTTATTGATGTCTTCCCTTGTAAGCTAAATAAACAAATGACATACTGAAGCATATTGTTTTCCCAAATAAACAATTCAGAAACTTACCTGTTCAGTTCCATTCTTGTGTGTTATTACGTCCTGCAGAATTAGATTTGTCAGCTATGCATACAGGATTAATGATGATTGAAAATGTGATGAGAATATTCTATACCACTGCTCCAGATACTATAATGTAGAAATCTGTTGGTATTTCATTTTGTATGATAATATCCATTTTGGGGGGATAATATTCTGCTCTCATCTCTGGAACCTGTGGAACAAATATGTAAACATTTGTGATGGAGAAGTAAAGAGTTCCACTTCAAAACATCAAAATCTCTATAATAATGCCACCATGTTCTCTCAACTTCTTACTCTTAGGTGTCAATTATAATAGAAAATATATATTAAGATAGGCCATAGATCAGTCCATAATATGTGATAATTAGATATAATTATGATGTTAGGAAAACAACATTACCAACTGAACAATAAAGTCTTCAGATACTCCTTTGAAAAGGTAGGAATTTTCTACTGTAGTGCGGAAGAGATGATGAGCGATGCCAGATCTGATTGCCTTTGGCAAGTCTTGCAGCACTTCTTCTTGCTGAAGTTCTGCTGTTTTGAACTTAAGTGTCACATGTGCTAGCATTTGTTCCTTTAAGCCTTCTGGAAGTCGATTCTTGCTTGCATATCGCAGGATCTCATGGATGGAATCCCTCTTCAAAACCACCATTAAACAGAATTATATTGCTGTGAACGTTTCTGAGATATATGTACTAACGTAAATCTGAACAAGCACTATTTTTAGGAGGATTGAAACAATGAAAAGTGATTTGGTATGTCTTTGATCTTTGAATTATAGAAAAATGTAAAATAAAAGAAGATTTAAATTTATTGCATCAGAATACAGTTCTGCTGAAATTATTATGGCTCGATGGCATATGAATTTTGTTAAGTTAGCTAAACAAACTAGAAGTGTAAAGAGTGTGTAGATGTACAATAGATAGGATAATCGCATGAGTGCATGATCATGTGGAACCAACATCTCAAAATTCTTGTATATGGTGTGGTTTGCACATTCGTGTGTTTAGCTAATCTCCGCGACTCTATACTGTGAAAGTGTTGGCAAAAGATTACCATGGCAAATGTCCGGACAGAGCTATGGACAATGAGATTGGTCATGTTCCCAATCAAATAGGCAGTAAGTCCGATGTTGAAAACCATGTAGAATATGGAAAAAATTTTCTCCCCCGTGTTTTCTGCATGCAGATCTCCATAGCCAGTTGTTGTAAGGGTAACAATTGACCAATACATGGAATAGGTATATCCTAGCCAGACACTCCTGTCTTCAAAATCAGGAACTTGAGCCCCAATCCAAGTATTATCTGATTGGCTATAATGAGTCGCGAGCCAGAAGTAGAAGCAGCCTGCCGTGTGTACAGCGAATAATGTCACCTGAGATAAACAGAGGTAAAACCTAGTCTGAGTAGTCTGTTTATCTGAAAGGTAGTGTCGTAAATTAGATAGTTGATATTGAGTTGACGTAGAATAAAAAAATGCCATGTTCACCATTAGGTTTTGAATGGACAATCCTAGTTGTGAATGTTATGCAAGTGAAGTGAGTATAGTTGAGGACGAGGTACTTACACATATCAATTTACAATATCTTGTCCAAAAGTAGCTGAATCGAGTATCCTTCTCTAGCCTGATGGAAAGGTATTAATTTAGGTTACTATTTAGATAGCGAAACATTTAACACTTTATAGGACTTTTTGATTAAAAGTTTTGTTGAAAATGCTAAAGGTTGTGGGCCTATGTAATGGTACCTAGAAAAGAATTCGCTAACACGCCTGAGTCGCCAGAGCCTGAGCATGTTGAGGAAGCCAAAGACCTCCCCCTGGTGCCTTTTCCCAGTGAAAATTCTGTATATGGATTGGAATGGCAGGGTTGAGGCCACATCCATTGGTAACCAGAGATTTGACACATACCTGAAATAAATAGTAGATGCAGCGGGATTTCTTCATTAGACACATTTGATGCGTGAGAATGGACTGGCTGACAAATAAAGATTTCATACGTTTATGTTCGTTGATTTTGTCAAATCCAAGGTACTCTCACTTGATCAAATGCCTCATTAGCACATTAATTATATCAAACCTTCTCTCAGCCAATGTTGTTATTGAACTAAAGTATGGAAATTTATGTATACCTCAAAGCTATTTTCTTGTGATCATCGACAAGCAAATAAGTTGATTTGTCCAAATAAGCGACGAAAAAAGTGAGAATAATATCAATCGCGAAGAAGGCATCAACCACCAAATCAAAAGGCAGGAGTGGACCCGTTCCCATTTCTCTAAATGCTAACTCGAATGGGGATGACCATGCTGAGTACACCACCAATAACACAAGAAATGTTTGCCACCACCTGCAATATTCACTTACATTATCCAGATTGAATTACACTAACATTTCTGGCGTGTTTAGTATCGAATTCGGCACAATTAAAGAAAAGATAGGTGTTAAATATTTGTTTATTGTCTTGTCTAGTTTAATTGAATTAAGCCCGAATGTCTAATTTTAGCCATTAAGAGAAAATGTCGACTTTGAATTTGTAGATGATTTAATTGATAGATTTTGAGGGTTTGCATGTTGGAAATATGATCCTCTTTGGGAAGATAGCAAGATTTTGTTAACCCAAAAATCAATAATTCACTACAACTTTCTAGACATTGGTAACATGCACATTGTTATAAGGATGTAAATTAGTTAGGGGAGTAAAGTGGGACAAACTGATTGTCAACCAAACAGATTGGCTCGCGTCCAAGACAACTAGTTGGTGCCGAGTTGAGCAACAAATTTCTCATGCAAGTCGCTTGCCAACTCGCATGAGTTGGCTTGCAAGCCGAGTGGGCTAGCTCATGTGCAAGCAAAGCAAGTTAGCTGGTTCACAAGCTGGGATGTCATCTGTAAGTGAAAATGAAAATTTTAGTAGGGGTGACATGGTGGGGCGAGTCGAGTCCATAGTTGGTGAAACGAGCCAGCTCACCTTATATGCTACCTCGAGCCAGTGCGTGGAGGGCTGAGCTTGTTTAACACCTAATGTCAATCAAGATGGGTCTGGCCCAATTCTAGTTTTTTTATTGGGCCAACACTACCTAAAAGTGTAAATTACATCACATAATCCCCCCACCCCCCAAAGTTATGCTAGGGGTGCAATTCCTTTTTATTTTATTTTATTTTTTGAATAAAAAAAGCTTGCATAGACCATTATGGTTTACAGTAGATAGAAGCACCATTATGATCTACAATAGATAACAGCAAAATTGTCTACCATAATAAGTCAAAAACCTTGGCTCCAGCTTCCAACCAAGCAGTCCAAGCCTAGAGAACGGGGTGTCGGCTTAAGCAAACAATTTTATATATATTTTTTCTAATGTAAACCATTATCCATCACAAGAAATTATTGTTAAAAATATCACGGTAAGTGGTGCATCACCATCCGATCACGAGGCAACATTGAACATAATTAAATAATAATGTGAGTTATTATCTTCAAATGGACTGAAACTGCTCTCTTTGTGGACTAATGGAGGAAACTGTCCATCATCTTTTCTTTTCATGCCCGGTTAGCAAAGATGTTTGGGACCAAATCTGTGGTTGGTTGGCTATAAGGCGTAACATGCTACTTTGTTGAGCTCATTAAAGTGGATGAAAAATGAAGTCAGGGGAAAGAGTTGGCAAAGTAAAGCAAAACGTATAGCACTTGCAACTACTGTGTATTACATTTGGATGGCAAAGAATAGAAATATTTTTGAAGATCTTAAGCCTCAAGTTGACTTTATTGTTAGACGAATTAAAACACACATATACAAAACTATGTTTATTTTGTATTCGTATATTTTAATTCAATTTGAGTTTTTAGCAGTGCGCCTTTAGACCATCGTTTGTACATCATTTTATGTTTGTCTACTTGGGTATGCTCAGTGTACATGTATTGATTACTTGACTTTTGATTGTCCGAGTATGCTTAGTATACTTGTAAATGAATTTTGATCTATGAAAGTTTGCATTTATCGATAAAATTATAATAATAATAATAACAACAATAATAATATGAGTCATTTTTATCTAGTCTAATATATTAATCGTGTCAATACTCAATATAGGTAACAAAGAAGGAATAATTGCAGGTGCAGTTTTAAATCTTTCAAAGTTTTTAGGTTTTACCCCAAATTTTTGATTAGTAGCAATGCTGGTCCCCAAACTTTTCAAATTTGTCCAGGCAAAAATGACCCCTGGACGGTTTCTATCTAAAATTAGTTAATTGGCCAAAAATAAGGGTTTTATGGTCAAATTCATTAGATTATCAACTAATGGATTTTTGTTCGAAATCGTCCAGATTTTCTTCCATCGCATAAATTTGAAAGATTTTGGGACCAACTCTGCTATAAATAAAAGGTTTGGTAGAACCTACAAAATTTGAAACCTTGGCTGCCATTGTTCCTAATAAAGAATGATAATTAACGTTACATAATGAGGAATTATGATATTACTTGCTTAATAAGCTGTACACAGCTATGAAGGTGTGGAGATAAATTTAAGAAACTAAAGGGCTAAAGCTTTTTGATGAAAACAAATAGACGTAGCAGAGTCGGAGGCGGTGGTGATTGTGTAGGGAGTGGTGGAATAGGAAGGAAAATAAAGAAAAAAGATTCGTCAGATTCTGTGTCATAAAAAAAAATAAATATGGAAATTGAATGAAAACTGACCTGTATCTTCGATCATAAGGTGCAATCACAAATTTTTTCAAATTTACCGATCCCTCACCCACAACTGTGCCAAAAGCTGGCAAGAGACTGCTGGAAATCGAGGCTAAGTTGCGTATTTCGCCGCTCGAATGCCGCCGATATAGAAGCGGCACCGGCGTCCTTGTCTCCGAGAATGGTGGCACCGGGGACTTTGTATCTAATACAGACATTTTAATTTGCACCACAGAGAGAGAGAGAGAGAGTTACAAGATGTATATTATGTATGTATGGTATATATAAATATGCAATGAAGTCGAAGGGACGAATTACTGTAAGTATTTTATTACATTACAGATTACAAAAGTTACAACAATCCGCTTTAAATAGGAATTATAACAATTAGTTTCATAGTAGAAGAAGAAGTCCAGTTTCAAGAGGGAATTGACTTGTCCTCTCGCCATAATTATATGAAATTTTCTAGTATAGGGTTATGTAATATAATATCATATAGACAATTAAGTCTATTGTTTGAAGTTCAATTATGGAGTAAAGATAATGTAATTATATGTGTAAGAGTTTGACTAACAATATGATAGAAACCACCCTATAGATACACATATATACATACACATTATACACAAATATCTATTGTTTATAGATTGACATGAGATTAGGGTTTGAAGTTGTCGTTTAAACAATTTTTTAGAAATTAATTGTCTGATTAAAAGGGATTTTAAAAAACGCTGGCATAAAATAACTTCACCTAGAAAAGTGATGACGATGTTTTGTCTACAAATGTATTGTCGAAGGGGGCGATAATGATCTTTGAAATATAAGAACGAGTGTATTCACAAAATGTAAGTGTTAATTAGTGAATAACTTATTTGAGACCTATGGTTTTCTAATTTTCTGATTTATTAATCTATTTACAAATTCATTCATGGTTTGCTACGAATAATTAAGTTCGAAGAACTTCTTAATCTCTCGAAAGGCAAATCGTTCACTATTATGGTCGGTTAGTCATGTTTTGATGATTATTTTACCAGACTCCAAAAATATTGAAAAAATATATAATTATTCATCATTATGTAATTAAAAAACAGAATTATCAAATAAAATTTACTAACCTATCTCGATGAAATCAACTATGACGTTGATAATTTAAAAAGACGTAAGTGAATGTCCAATATGCACATAAAAATGAATTTAATTACTTGATGTGTATGAATTCAATACACGCACAAATACCCTACTCTCGAAGTCGAAGAACGAAAGATGAAAAGAGAAAATGAATGCTAGTTGACCTTTTATTTTTTTTATATATAAATAAATTTCTTACATAAATGGACCGGCCAGAATTGAGAAACGTATTATTTTTCAGCAATGTGGCAAATTCTTTATTATGATAATTGGGGGGTGGATAAGATAAATGCAAAATTTTTGTTGACTCAAGATTTCTATAATTGAAAGGCCTTAAATGAACCAAAGTCAATTGAGATTTGTAAAATTGTTATTAATTATTAGTTCATTCCATGTTCTAATTTTAGAATATTATCTCAAGATTTTCAATTTCAATTAATTTTTTAATAATGTTGCAGTCCATGTTATATTTTTTTTATTTTTTACCTATCCATCCCATCCAGATGCAAAACCAGGACGTAATTTCAGTGGGGGCGTTGAAAACCTGAAAAAACCTGAAGAAAAATGAAAATTTGAAAATCGAGCGAGGACGGCCGCCCCAGTCGGACCTCAAGTAGGTCTGCTTCTGATCCCATCACTTGTATTTTTTCTGAAAGCAAAACATCAGAGTATTATTCAACAATATCACGAAATGAAAATTTCACTACATAGCTTGGAGACTCCCCAAACTGGCCATTTCCTACAAAGGTCTTTGCATAAAGGTTGCCGCAAACATCACTGTGATCACTCCCATCCTCTTTTATGAATTTATTATGCCTCAATAAACGAAAATCAAGGTTAAATGCAAGTTCTTGACTTTATAGAATTGTTTGAGCATGAAGCATCACACAAAACATTAAACTAGACAGATTACAAATCATAGTTTCTCACATATTTTAGGAAAATAACTACAAACTGAAACTCTGAAATCCTTTAAAAGTCTCTTATCAAATGCTATAGAGAACTCTAGAACAAAATACTTCTTTCGTTATAGTGAATCATGTTTCTTTTTGTAAAGATTAATTTAATTTCCATAAATAATTACTATTATTCAAGTTATATCACGTTAAGGGACTGTTTAGATTACAAAATAAAGCAAGATATTCAGAAAGATTGATGTAGTGAGAAGCCCGGTGAAGAAATAATCTCGCTATTACGATTCATTGATTATGTAACATACGATTGTAGATTTAACTTTTTTTTTTCTTTTGGAAGAGATTCAAATTTTATTAAATTAAATAAAAACCACCCCAAGAACCAAACTTCGCCGTCAGTCTTTTAAAGCGTCATCACCAACTTTATAGAATCACAACACCAAGTTATTATGATTCTTATGTATGATACTTACATGAATAAGAATCATTGTAATACCAAGTTCACAACTTCACTTCCGACAATACCAAGTTACTGTGCATGATACTTACATGAATAAGAATCATAAGCCTCGCTCACCTTGCTTTTATAGAATCAATTGAAGTGTGGATTTGTCTCGACTTTCATTTAAAAAAAATTATAATCCTTTATTAAAAGAATAAATATATAACGTGTTACTGGTCGAATATGAAATGCCATGCGGAAGCACTACAATAATACACATGGAATGCATGGATGAGTTGAGGCTCTTAAGGAGGTCAACTGAGGTGCCTTCAAAGCTCAGCCGAGGTGTTTACAAAGCCCAAGCCGAGTCTCTCCAAAAGGTAAGCTGAGGTGTCTTCAAAGATGGCAAAAGTGCCTGCCGACGTGGCTTCACGAATGTCCACCAAAGCTCAAGAAGAGGTCCACGTCTCAAACGGAGGCTCAAGAGGTCCTTAAGCCGAAGCCCTGAGTAAGTGGTTGAGGCCTTAAAGTAAAGCACTGTATAAGTGGTCAACGATCGAGGTTGTTGCACTGAACTTCGAGGTCGTTTTGCTAGAATTCTCCAAAGTGGTTCTGACCTTGATGATTTGAAGTAGGTTGACGTCTTCCTACCGATCTCCTTGGCACCAAGGTCCTTGACACCGAGATGGTCTGACAAGCATATCTTAGGAACTAATTGATGTGACCTTTGTAATGAGTATAAATATCTTCTCTTGTCAATAGGATGACTCCTCTGTCTAAGAATATTAAATGCACCACATGCTAAGAAGCAAAAAATGATGGCTAGGACTAGATGCTTTGATTAAGGAGATGAACCATGTGGCTCCTCATCCAATAGACAACATCTCATGTGTAACACTATAAATACTTCCCTTATTGTATAATTTTGGAGGATGGATCTTTGAATGAAAAGAGAGAACATAATATATCTCTTCCTTATCTCTATCTTCTTCTTCTAAAAATGTTCATATTTACAGTAGAAATACTACAAAAACATGTCCACATGCATACTGCATTCTAACAATACCTATTGGTCATTTTCGGAGGTCAACAAATTAGCATCGTCTAAGGAAAACCACACTATAACCACGAACATCCCGTGAAAAAAAAACTTGCCATTAGAGAGTTGGGCATCTCCCTTGAAAAAAAAATTTGTTCTTGAAGAAAGAACAAGTAGAAGCCCTAAGAAAAAGCTTTGGAGCTTACATCAGTACGTGGATTGTTGATATTGTTTGAAAAAAAAAAAAGAATATATTGAGATAAAAAATCCATTCGTATGACCCCCATATCTTTGAAGAAAAGATTTGTATGGAAAAATGAGTTCAAGCAGTGAGGTAGACCTACTTAGGAGGGATAGGAAAACACTTGAAGAATGGATCTCCTGGAGAACTTCCCCAGTGAGTCATCGCCGAACTCATCACTAGCATAGATGAGTTAGAATGAGAGTAATTGTCCAACTCACTCAAAAAGTAGCAGAATGGCTACCAACATGAGAAGCATCATATAGACAAAGGCCTTGTACAACAACTCTAAATGCAAGGAAATAGGAAAAAGACCCCCTGATAGGGAGAGGCCTCCAAAGAAGAGGCCATGAAGAAGAAAACCCCCTGAAAATGGAAGGCCGCTAAAGAAGTGGCCTCGAATAAGTAGATCCCTGATAAGGAGAGGTCTCCAAAGAAAAGGCCATGAAGAAGTAGACTCCCTGAGAAAGGGAGGTCGCCGAAGAAGTGACATTGAATAAGTAGACCTTTGAGAGGGGGAGGTCTCTAAAGAAAAGGCCGCAAATAAGAACATCTGAAAAAGAGGATGTCATTGAAGAAATGGCCTTGAAAAAATAAGAATGGAAGGCCTCTAAAAAAGAGGCCACAAATAAGAAGACCCCCTGAAAAGGGGATGTTACTGAAAAAGTGGCCTTGAAAAACTAAGAATTGAAGGCCTCTAAAGAAGAGGTAATGAATAAAAAGACCTTCTGAAAAGGTGGCCTTGGATCAAGTACCCTACAAAAGGAGAATGCCTCTAAAGAAGAGGCCATGAATAAGTAGGACCCCTGAAAAAGGAGAGGTCTCTGGTGAAAGGTTATTAGAAGACCCATTTTACAAATGGGAGCTCTCTAAAGGAGTGGAACAATACAAAAGAAGAGAAAATGACTAAAAGTGTATAAAAATGTGAACTTGGGGATTGAAGTGTAGATATTCTGAAACTTGAAGGACCATGAATGCAATATATCAAGGTATGATTGAAATAGAAGGCAAAATATGAGGATCAAATTGTACCAGATCAAAAGTTGAGGGACCTAGGCTTGAAATTATTGAAGAACTTAAAGGCAATTTTAATATTTTGCCTATGTATAAGCATGAGCTTCCAGAAGCTCACCATACAAGGTCTCATATGCCTAAGCTCCAGTGCCTCAACATGCAAGGCCTCGTCTTTGCCTAAGCTTCAGTATCTTAACATGCAAGGTCTCATCAAGGCCTCATCTTTGCCTATGTTTCAATACCTCATCCTTGCCAATGCTTCAGGCTCACCATATGTGGCCTCATTTTGCCAATGCTTCAGCACCTCCGCTACATAGGACCTCATCATTCTGAGGCTAGCTTATAAGACTTCGATAATTTGAAAGTTATACGAGAGATGTTTAATCCTTGCCCCTCACTATCGTCGAGCCAAGCTATAAAACCTCGTCTATCCGAGGTCCTCTTATAAGACTCCGATAGTTCGAGCTGAGCCACAAACTTGATATTCATTCCTTGCCTTACGAGATGCCTCACCATACAAAATGTTGCATTACAGCTGTACTTATCTTTAGAGAGCTCATTACGCATCTACTTTAGCTATACCATGGCTTTATTTATCTTCAAAAAGCTTATATTATTCTTTGTATGGATGAACCATCCACCATGCAGGAAGCCCTTGACATGGATGAGTCATCCACCATACAAGGAAATAAAAAAAAAAAGAGAGAGAGAAGAGAAACCTTCCATTGATGGATCAAACACCATGAAAGATGCATTTGCACAGAAAAGTAAGCCCCTTACAAAAAAGTAAAAGAAAATGAATATATATATATATATATATATATATATATGTTCAAGGCTTTAGACAACGTCCATGATAAGTGCCTGTGTAAATTTTCATCTCACTTTTAAATCCCCATTATGTGAATATCTATGACTGGATTTAGGGACTATTGTAATTACTATTAACACGCATGTTACATCACTGCTCGCATGTTTCATGACTCATGACATCATTTTTACCAGTGTTGGTATGAATGTCACGTTACATACACTATCATCAGGCATATGCCCTACTATGGTACATGATAGGCTTCTTGTACATTATATCTTGGAAACATATGAGATGCCATTTATGGATATTTGGAGGGGCAAAATGGACCTTGTGCTTATTTGATATATGTGTAGTAGACTAGTCTAGTCCACATTACAAAGGAGATGCTATCGAAATCTCGACAAAATATGGCATTTTTCGAGGTAAATTTTTCAAAGGAATAAAAGAAAGTAGTCCAAGAGGCACTTCTATGAAAATCAGCCCAAGAGAGGCACTTCAACAAAAAGAGTTGGAACCTAAAGAGGTCCACCTCAGAAAAGAAAGCAGCCCAAGAGACACTTCTATGAAAATTAGCTCAAGAGATGCACTTCAACAAAAAGAGCTGGAACCCGAAGAGGTCCACCTCAGAAAATAAAGTAGCCCAAGAAAGGCACTTCAACCAAAAAAAGTTGAACCCCGAAGTGGGCTATCCTCAAAATGAAAAAAATCAGCCCAGAAGAGGCAATATAAACAAAGAGTAGGATCCCGACGAGAACCACTCTCAAAAAGAAAAGAAAAACACAAGCAAAACGAGCAGTTGAACTACCAAAACTATGCAAAATTGCAATACAAAGAAAGTCTGACCCGCACATGAATGTACGACCTAGATTTGGAGGAGTATTATTACTAGTCGAATATGCAATGCCACGTGGAGGCACCACAATAATACACGTGGAATGCATGGATGAGTTGATGCTCTTAAGGAGGTCAACTGAGGTGCCTCCAAAGCTCAGCCGAGGTGCTTACAAAGCCCAAGCCGATGCTCTCCAAAAGGTAAGCCAAAGTGCCTTCAAAGATGGTCGAAGTGCCTGCCGACATGCCTTTACGGATGTCCACCAAAGCTCAAGAAGAGCTATATGTCTCAAACCGAGGCTCAAGAGATCCTTAAGCCGAAGCCCTAAGTAAGTGGCCGAGGCCCTAAAACGCAGCACTTTGTAAGTGGTCAATGACCGATGTTGTTGCACTGAACTTCGAGGTCGTTTTGCTAGAATTCTCCAAAGTGGTTCTGACCTTATTCATCTGAAGTGGGTTGACGTGTTCCTGTCGAACCCCTTGGCACCGAGGTCCTTGACATCCAAAGGGTTTGATAAGCGTATCTTAGGAACTGATTGATATGACCTTTGTAATAATTATAAATATATTGTCTTGTCAATAGGATGACTCCTATGCATAAAAACATAAAATGTACCACATGCTAAGAAGTAAAAAATGATGGCTAGGACTAGATGCTTTGGCCAAGGAGATGAAGCCATGTGGCTTCTCATCCAATGGACAACATCTCTCGTTTAACACTATAAATACTCCCCTTCTTGTATCATTTTGGAGGATGGATCTTTAAATGAAAAGAGAGAACATAATATATCTCTCCCTTATCTCTATATTCTTCTTCCAAAAACGCTCATATTTCTAGTAGAAATATAACAAAAATACGTCCACCTGCATATTGCATTCTAACAATACCTATTGGCCATTTTCGAAGGTCAACATAAAGAATTATATACCCTACACAACTTATTGTGAATTATTTATTTCTGCGGTACTTTTTCTTATATTCTAAACAATTAGCATGACTAATGAGTCACAACATAAATAATTAGCAACAAATAACAATAAAATTGTATTACTCATGTCAATAAAATTATTAAAAATAAAATAATATAAAGTTTTCGTAGTTATGTTTAAGATATCATTGTAATACCCATAAACTTGAGATGATTGTATCCTTTTCTTATATCAAATCAGTTATGTCTGACATTATTTTCATTAGGGGTTTACCATGTATATCGCGTGTCATTGTCTGAATTTATTATTTTACCGATATTTTGATAATTGTTGTTGGTTAATCAATTATTCGATTGTCACTCATACAGTTAGAACTATTTTACCTAAAAAGTTGGACAATATTTAATCTAAAAATTAATTAATACAGACTAGTAAAATATTTTCTTGGATTCAAGCTATCACATACACATTTCAAAAGCCCATAAGTATTGCCCACTTATCCACCATTCATACCTACATAATTACAGTATAAATCATTTATAAACACTTCTCAACATGATTTTAAATCAATTTACACATTGTTCTAGTAGTGTAAAGACGATCATATATGTGTACTTGGTAAAATCAGCATTTAGATTATGACAAATATCTCGGATCTTGAATCATTCAAATAATGATAACTCGATATTTGAAGTGATAATAGAGAAACGAAGTGAACTTCGAAGGCAGCAACGTAGGCACGTCATAACACCAGTCAGACACATTGTGACACGAGAAGACAACAATTCAAGAATGATAAAATGTCATAATTTAAATGATTGATCCTAACACTACTACAATCTTTCTCCTTGTAGTGACTACAGTTAGGAATAATGCTATTTAGCCATATTCGAGTTATAACCTCAGTTTATGTGAAGTTAGTGTGGTATTTAATAATAAGTATAATTAAATAGATTATTTAATTTCACATTTAATTTAATTTATTTTTTAATACCACATAAATTGGAATTATAACATCAGCGAGGTTAAAAAGCATTATTTGCTAGTTAATGCATATGCTGACAGCCACACTACTACCTGATGTGCTAACATAAGGAGCACACGTGGGAATCATGCTTTCGAGTGTGATGGCAAAGAAAATTTATTTTAAGAGCATGTTTGGTAGGGTTTTTAATTTAATTAACATCAATTTTTTGATCGTTATTTTACTATTTCAACCGTCATTTTTGAATTCTTCTCCCATAGATAGGATCTACTTTATCTCTAATGATAAAAAAATCAATTAATAAAATTCCTACCAAACAAGCACTAAATACTATCCTTTTATTTATTTTTTATTTTTAAAATATCCCCTACTATTGTTAAAACTAATATTCCTTATCTCTACATTTTTTGGGGCTTGTTTAGTTTAATCGAAACATTCCTATAATTTGATTATAACCATCATATGAATTCACACATCTTAAATTATTTGTTTGTTTGATGTTTTGTTGCACTTAACGGATGTTTGTGATTTTTTATATAAAACCATTTCGATAGAAGTGCATCTATGACCGTAAGCATCTATTGTTCGATTTAACTAAAGATGGATGCGGTCCGAAATAGACACTCATGTTCTCTTACTTACAATAAAAAGTCTTTATTTTATCCACCGTAGAGAGAACCTTACTTATAATTTTCATATTTGAAGATGACAGTAAAAGTTATCGTGTCATGTCAACAAGTAAAATGTGTTAGATATTTTTCATCATTTTGCATGTATTTATTTTTGTTTTTCGAATGATTTGCCGCCTTAACTAGTATTTGTCGCTGCGCAACGGGGATCGACCTGCCCGGTCAAGTTGCGGGATCGAGGGCAGCGCCCTCGAAAGAGAATTTTATTTTCAGAAGTCTTTGAATAGGTGTATCTGTTCGTTTTTAACAGTCACTTCCAGTAGATGTATACAAAGATTTCAAGGGACACACCTATTTAAACGGTTGCCTCAATTTCTATAAATTCTGAACGAATTTTCTTTTGCAAAACACGTTTAAAAACTTATTCTTCTTTCTTTCTCTTGGTATCAATCAGTTATTTTCGAGTGTCTTTTTGATTTGATCAAATAGTCACAATTTGAATCAAACGTTTTCATTGTATCCTGAAAGAGATTTTTTATCATACTCAAATTGTAACTTTATTGAATAGAGAAAAAATATCTCTTAAAAGATAACGTTTTTTGGTGTCTTAAAATTAATTAAGTATTCAGATTTCCTACATTTTTCTCAACAAAATGTCTAACAATTTCGTTGAAATAAATACTACATTTGAAACATATGACTTCGTAGTGATGCAGTATACATTTTACATTCTTCCCTAAATTCTGCACTCAGCAAGAGAATCCAATCCCCTAGCAGATTTTCCAATTTTTCCTCTATGATTCTAACCTAATTGTTTCTCACAAATACAGAGAATCATCACATAATAGCACATACATATACATACAGCTCTACAAAGGTCGCTTTTTTTTTTTTTGGGCTATGGAAGGAGGAGGCGTAGTGGAGAAAAGGGAGGGGCACAATCGAAAACGACAACGTATGACGTGGGACGTTGCTCCGCCGCCGTCTGAACGGGCAGAGATGGTTACGAATTACAATTTTATTTTTTATTTATTTTTTATTTTTTTCTTCTTCTCTGTTGGAACAATTCGTTCAAGGGGGGGAAAATTCTGACGCTTGGCTTGGCTGGATTCTTTTGTAGGGTAATGAAAGAGACGGTGAGGATTTCGAGGCTGGACCATGCCCGGCTCCGGTGTTGCGTCGACACGTTTCGCCTCCGCGGAGGGATGACGATCGTGAGGGGCACTACGTGTTTAGCTTGGGCGAGAATCTCACCCCGAGATGTAATTTTTTTCTTTCAATTTCTATTGAAATTTTGATTAGGTTTATGCATTTTGATGGCATGAAATGGACTTCTTGATTTGTTTACTCTTCTGAACATGTGAACTGAATATTGTGGATACTGGAATTTTGCATAGTTCTTGTGATATCACCCTTCGTTGGTATATTTGTGAATTGAGATTTTAATTGCCTAGGAAATAGTTGTTTGTTGCTGAGGTGAAACTAGGTGACTGTAAAATTGTTGTGAAGCTCTAAAGCCTGTGGTCACCGGGCATCAATTTTTTTCCCTATAACATCAAGGCTGTTTCTGCTGTTCAAAGATCATAAACGTTGAATGAAACAGAAATAAAATGAAGAGTTAGAAGTTTTACTGCCTCATAACACATAGTAATTCAACAACCAAAATCTGTTAAAGGAAGGCAGATGATTGAAGTTTTATAGCCTGATTTGGTATATATACTATTTGATTAGTGTGGATAAGGTTTTTGGTTGATTAGCCCTTTGAAGTCAGAGTCTTGCCAGCGCTTAGTTGAGACTTTCAACTTATGCCTTGTCTTGTTTTCTGCAGATAAGATACTCAGCAAGATAGGTGAAGGTTAGCTGTAACGTGCTGATAGCAAAACCTTATACTTTCTCATATTCTTGTATGAAATCAGCAAATTGCTAGTGCTGTAGGAACATTTGGCCGAGTATTGGAATGTTGGGATCGTCAAACACGAGACTACGTTGCAATCAAAGTTATCAGAAGCATTCAGAAGTATCGTGATGCAGCTATGGTGGAGATTGATGTACTTCAGCGTCTTGCCAAGAATGATGAAGGCAATTCAGGGTATGTTGCTTCTAGATGCCTGGTTTTTCATGGCTCCACGTCAAATTTACTGGTTTTATTTATTTCACCTTTTGGCAGCTGTGTGAAGATGCTAAATTGGTTTGATTATCGCAATCATATATGTATAGTAAGTATTCCAATGAAGTTCTTCGTCCATGTTCTTTTTTTCTTGAGCTCTCTTCGAATAGTCTCCACTTTAAATAGTGATACTTAGCACTGCTCATTTATTATGCAGCAACATGCATGCCCTTTGTGGATAAATATATAGATTATGGAAGCTTAAGCTGAATTTTTTCAGTTTGAGCTCCATCATAACACTGAAAACTTGACGGAAAACTTCCTTTGAATGCATTTTAATGTTGTTACCAGGTGTTTGAGAAGCTTGGACCAAGTTTATTTGATATTCTAAAGAGAAATAAATACACCTCATTTCCTGTGGATCTTGTTCGAGAGTTTGGCCGCCAGCTTTTGGAATCTGTAGCATGTCTGTGTATTGTCATTGGCTTTGATTCATATTTATTTGTTTTCTTTACCAGCTACCATTTGTCCGTTGCTCTTTCCTATGTCCAGGGATCTTGCTCTATTGGGTCTTTTTTTTAATTTTTGTGTGTTGATTTCATTTTACTCAACAGATATGCATGATTTACGGTTAATCCACACCGATTTGAAGCCAGAAAATATACTTCTTGCATCTTCTAAACTTGTGAAGCTTCCTGGCTTCAAGGTACTTTGGCCTTCTACAGTTGGAAAACCGTTATATAATTAGGCAAAGACTTGGTCAATATTTTTTGTATAATATTTTTTGGATGGTACAGAAGATATCAGATGAAACAAATTTCAAGTGCTTGCCAAAGTCAAGTGCCATTAAGCTGATTGATTTTGGTAGTACTGCACATGATAATCAGATTCATAGCTCCATTGTTTCCACAAGGCATTACAGGGCACCTGAGGTTATTCTAGGTAACTAGTTACTGCTGTCTGAGAGATTCACATTTCTTCTATTCATCTTAATTTACTTAAGAAGTCCATTCAGTCCGACCACATTAGTGATTTGTCAACTTTTCATCTGGAGATGACAGAAACTACAATCCATATTGAGGCCATGAGAGTAACTTCAGTGACGTATCAAAATCTTTAGAGACGTGAAATTGATTTTATGCTGAACATTGCGGAAATGCCGACTCAAATCACGTCATATGTGCTTATAAACATTTTATTTTATTCATTAGATATTTCAGATATTACTTTTTAGTGATGGGCATATACAAGTCCTTAAATTTTCATGCATCAAGTAAGTTGGGTCGAAATTAGATAATTGGAACATAAGTTTATTAACGGCCGGGACCTCTTAAACTATGTCTCGTATTGGCATATTGAAGAAAATATACATTCAGTGTGGTGTTCGTATCTTCTTCTTCGACACTGGTATATCCTACCATAGTGATGCAGCACTTCCCTTTATATGAAAATTAAGAATTTATTAAGGCTACAAGTAGCAATAAACTCCTATTTCTTTCTATTCTTGGGAGGCTGTTTAGGGTAGGAGGTACCATTTTTACCTCCCTTTATTCTGAACTAGTTAGAACTTACGTAATTCCATGCAAGTATTACATTTTGAATTTATTTAATATGTTACCCAATCCCCAAGAAGCATGCAAGAATACCCTTGTATGACAATGAAAAAAGAAATCTTGCCATGCTTTCTTCACTGGGAGATTTTGATTACAAAATATAAGTGGCTCTTCAAAATAGATTAGGGATATAAATGAGTCAAAATTATGTTGTATCTGAAATTTATTATCTCAGAGAACTGCTGCTTATTTCCTTCTTTATGAACATTTCTCACAGGTTTAGGATGGACATACCCTTGTGATATTTGGAGCATTGGCTGCATACTTGTAGAACTTTGCACAGTTAGATGTTCTTGCTCCTCTGTTTCCTTATCATTCTTCTTCCATTTAGCATAACTGGTGCCTGGAAGTTTTCCATATATTTTAAAATTGAAATTGTTCCAGGGAGAGGTATTGTTTCAGACACACGAGAACTTGGAACATTTGGCAATGATGGAGAGGGTATTGGGACCTCTGCCAGAGCATATGATTCGGAGAGCAAAGTAAGTTTCCTGAACATGTTAACATGTGTGCTCTCCTCCCCTTTCTTTTCTTTTGGTGATGGTGCTGTTGCTGCTTTCTTGGTTTGGGGGGCATGGGTTGTCTGTTGATAATATGGTATCTTACTCCTTCTATAGAATTCAATGATAAGATATTCTGATGCTGGAGAATATATCAGCCACTTCATTGTAGTCGCTAGCCCCCACCCTCAAGAGAAGGGAAAACAAACTCAACAACTCACACACACGCACAGAGATGGAATTACATTTTAAAAGATGAAAGAGAGAGGAGTTTATACGATTTTCAATTTTTCATTGCTTTATTGTAGCCGGGGAGCAGAAAAGTATTTCAAGCAATCACGACTTAACTGGCCTGAAGGAGCAGTTTCTAGGGAGAGTATACGAGCAGTGAGGAAGCTAGACCAGCTGAAGGTTGCATACTTTCAATCATCTCCCAGTTCCTGTATTTACTATATTTTATGCATGGGTTGTTCATTCTCTGTTTCCCTTTGCTTTCTACGTCCTCTCTGTGGTGGATTTTATTTTGCCCCTGTTTGATGGCCATTATTTTGAAAAAAACAATGTTTTAAATAGTGATTTTTAGGAAAATGTGCGGTTAAAAAGTCGGAAAAAGTTTCGGGTTTACGAGTAGAATATTTTATTGTGTGAATATGTGATTGAAAATAAGTCTGTAGAAAAACGGAGTTTAAAATAAATCAAATTTAGTTTTAAGAAGTTTTTGTTTCCTCACTTTTTAAGAAAAAAGTTATGTTGGAAGTAACTCATACTTTTCATATAAGTAACTCTTTTCTAACTTAAAGCAATTAAAAATATTTATTTAAAACTTATTTACTCTTACCTATAACCTCTTTTGCTATGGAATGCAGAATCTCATCTCCCGGCATGCAGATTCCTCGAAGTCGTCCCTCGTTGATTTGTTGCATGGCTTACTGAAGTTTGATCCACGTGAACGTTTCACAGCTTGGCAAGCTCTCAAGCACCCCTTCTTTAAGAGCCTGACTTAATATTATCTTAATTAAGATATGGGTAATGCGTCCTAGGGGTTTAGTAGTCCTGCTCTATGGAACCAACCCTCTATGTGAAAAAAAGAACTATAGCGTTGGTCCCAAATTTCTATCTATGCGTCTTAGATAGAATCAAAACTCTAGTGTAATTCTGAAGGCACCGCAAACTTTGTGCGTGTTCAATGATTTCCTACTCATGCTTTGTGCGCGATAAGGTTTAGCTTCTTGTTGCTGTTTGGTAGATGGAGATAACCTGTTGTATTGGAGTTGAGTAGATAAATGAAAATATTTGTCCCTTGGAGTATATTATTTGTCGATGATGAATGACAGAAATTGAATTTTTTTATTTCTTTATCTCAAGTAAAATCTTAAGACCAAATTTTGCAATTTGGGTGTGTGTGGTGTATATGGGTCATGATGATGGAGAGAAATACAAGTTAGCTTTTGATAAAGCAGTGTTCTAAACTGCAAGGCCTAGGTTCGGCTAGCACTAGGTGTGAGGTGCTAGAAAAAAGCTTAGCTCCGATTTGTTACCCATTATTTGAAAAATTAAATAGTTTTAAGTAGTATCATTTAAAGAATGTGTAGTTAAAAAGTAGGAAAATTTTATTGACTTATGTGTAGAATATTTTATTGGGTGAATGTGGTGTCAGATGATATCATAGTAAATAATTTAAAATTTTAAAGAATGGCAAATAAGCTCTTATATGAGGAAGGCATGCAAAAGACCAGTGGCTATATTTTTTAGTATAGGCAGCAAAAGGAAGCGGCGCGTCTTTTTTATATTTTGGTCTATTTTTTATAACCAACTAAAAGGAAAAATTATTAATGATCTTATTAAAGCCCCATTTGGCACCCATTTTTTGAAATGAAAATGGATGGAATAAAAGTTCTTAGAAAAATGAGTAACTAAAAAAAAAAATTAAAAAAAAACTATCAATTTACGTATAATATTATTTTATGAAAAATTATGTGATTAAAAATTAGATAAAAAAAAATGAAATGAAGTTTATTGGAAACCAAATGAGGGCTAAAATAGCGAAAATAATTAGAATTATTAATGGTCTTAACTGGCTTAAGTTTTGCCACTTTATCATGCTTTACTCCTTTTAAACCTTGCAATAAAGTCAGCACTAGCAAATATAGCTCTCTACTTATTGGTAGTCAGTTAGACCTCAGTGAAATTTTTAAAAAATAAATAAGTAAACTGAAATAAGAAAATAATTCACGTTATTTATTTTACA